CACAAACTCCAGATACTGGAATCTGAGAGTTTTAAAACAGAACCTCAAGGATTTGATGCTCAAGAATCTCATGAATCCTGTTCAGATCTTGTGTCTCCCAGTGTGAAGAGTGAAAGTGATCTGGACTCCAGCTGCACTGCAGATCTGTCCAGGATTCAGTCCCTCAGCACTGCAGCACAGTTCACTGAGTTCTATCAGGAGTCTGACCGGATTAAAACAGAGAGCAAGAGACTATTGAGCATCCAGGTAGAACAGGACCTACAATCCTTCGACACTGTCCAATGTGGCTCTTTCAAAGAACAGCAGAAAGCCAACTCATTCGTTGCAGTCGAGTCAATTCACATTGCTGAGCCCGGGACACAGCAGCTCGAAGGTGGACTCCGAACAGGAGGACCTGGGAACAGTACCGAACTGGTTAAAATAGAGTGCGATTTGTTCTCCGAAGGACTGCCTGCAGTAAAACCCGAGCTCACCGGAGAAGGACCGTCTGTAGCGGGACTTGAGCTCAAGATAGAGGAACTGTCTGCAGCCGGATCTGAGCTCACTGTGGGGGGGCCGACTGCAGGAGAATCTGAATCGTCTACAACGGGACCTCGGCTCTGCAGACGGAGACCGGAGGGAGGCCAGTCTGGGGGTCTGGGAAACGGGCCCAGGGGGGAGTGTCAGGGCGGAGGGAGGAGAGAAACCCCATCCTTCCAGCTCGCCCATCAGCCCCCTGGACCCTCCAGCCCACAGGATGGCTCACCGCCTCATGGGGAGGCCCAGGGCACAGCCTCCAGCCGAGCCAGAGGGGGGCAGCATCGCTGCAGCCAGTGTGGGAAGACATTCAGGCGTCCAAACAGCCTTCAGATCCACCAGCAGACCCACACGGGAGAGAGGCCCTACTGCTGCAAGCAGTGCGGGATGAGCTTCAAGAGGGCCGGACACTTCCAGAATCACGAACGGACTCACGCAGGGCAGGGCGTGCACTGCTGTGCCCAGTGCGGGAAGACATTCCTGCGTCCCAGGAGCTTTCGGATCCACCAGCGCCTTCACACGGGTCACAGGCTGCACCGCTGCGCCCGCTGCGGAAAGACGTTCAACTGGGCGGGGAACCTCAAGCGCCACGAGCAGATCCACAGCGGGGAGAGGCCCTACTCCTGCCTGCAGTGCGGCCAGAGCTTCCCGAGGGCGGCCGAGCTCAGGCGCCACGAGCGGAC